ACGACTGTCGTAACTTCATCGTATTTCATCGTTTACATGGTATCGTTTCCATACACGTATACGACCGTCGTATTTTGACGTATTTCAGCGTAAACGATCGTATACCACCTGGGATGAAAGACCTGGGAAGCCGAGATATATGCGAAATAAAAAAAATGTTACAACATTATACGGACACCCGGTTTTGGCAATAAAAAAACATGTTCATTTTCTTCTAATACACTTATTATACTTTAAACTGCATTTGATGTTCAACATAAATATACTAAAAGATGCAGCGCGTTCTGGGCTGTCTCCCTATATATAGTAGGTTAATAGATAAAAGCGCATAGTAATAAAAAACAAAAAAATCATAGGGTATACTTTCAATTTTTCTCGACTGTAGTAGATCAATATTTTTACGTACCTAAAGTAATAATAATATAAATGGCTACTTTTGCTCTACAAAATGTTTTTGCTTTTAATGGATATTGTATACTGACAGCTCGATCAATACTAGCTACAGCTAATAAATAATTTGAATAATCTGATGTAAAATAAACCATAAATACGTGTAATTTACATATGACTGATGATTTAGCAGTAATGCTAAAATTATAAGATGGTAACACAGTATCGATTAATGAAAAAGATAAATTTAATAAATCTGTTGCAGCCAAAGCAAGAAAATAAATAGCACACGACCGTTCTCGTAATACTTTTCGACTAAATACAATAACACATAGACCATTACCAATCATACCAATGACAAATATTGTCATACAAACAAATTTATAGATAATTATTTCTGCTATATATCGATATATATCATCCGAGAATGATGAGGTTTTTGTTGTCGATAACGTCGAACCATTTGTAGTTGTTGTTAAATTAATAAATAATGTTGACTGTGTCAATGTTAAATATGTGTCATCCAAAAATGATTTTGATAATGGTAATAAATCATTCATGCTAGAAGCATGAAGTCACTGTCTAAATAAATAACAACATTTTTTATAAATGAATACTTGTGTTTAAATAGACGAAGAGTAGGGACATGTATCACAGTCGTTAAATATGGAATCCCGGTAACTTGCTCCCTGGAAAGATGCCTCCCGGACACTTGCCCTCCGTGTTTTGCCCTTCGGACATTTGCCCGCGCGGATACTTGCCCGCACGGAAAGTTGCTTCCACCGATTAAAACGGACACTTGCCTCCGCCACTTGTGGAGAGCACTTTTCTTTTAACCATTTTCTAGAATTGGACCTTTTCGGTATTAGAAGCCACTGATTGCCTTGGATACTTGCCGTATACGGCGCACAGTTCGTTTCAAATTTTTAATATCAGGTAACGAGGCTACGCCGATGTTTTATCAACAATATAAGCATATCCAGCGTGAATAAAGATTGGTTTACCTTTAGTGG